ACCATAGGTAGATGGGCTGATTTCTGGATTCTCAGTTCTATTCCATTGATCTATGTGTCTGTCATTATACCAGTACCATGCTGTCTTAACCACCACGGCAGTGTAGTAGGATTTGAAATCAGGGAGAGAGATGCCTCCTACATTTTTTTCTATTTTTAAGGAGTGCTTTGCTTATTCGGGGCTTCTTTCCATAGGAAAAGGTAATTATTTTTAAACTCATAGTTTCATCACCCAAAAAGAACCACTTATTTTGCGTTAGCATAAAACATTTCTTTCTTTTAGTTTATAAAAATAAAGAAAATGTAGGTTTTATACTTATTTTTCAAACTGCACTTAATTACATACATTTTTGTAGCTTACTTTAAAAATACAACTACACTAAACATTTTTTTTAATCATTTAACAACTTTAAAGTCTACAGTGAATATAGCATATTCAGTTGTTTCCCTAATGGTGCACATTTGAATTCCTTTCTGCTTTCAGTAACAGAATGCTACGGTAGAAAGCATCATTGAAGGACCCTCTTTACAAGGACCCTCTTTACACTGGGTTATTTAAGATTTATGTCCAGTAAACATAAATGGAAAGTGTCCTCAGAGCCCTTAAATTGACAACCAAGCCAAACCTCTTGCCACCAAGTGGATTCTGACTCATCGTGACCTTGGAGGACAGAGTAAAACTGCCCCAGAAGGTTTCTGAGTCTATAAATTGTTTAGGAAACTGATTGACTCATTTTTTCCTCATGAAGCAGCTGGTGGGTTCAAACTGCTTACCTTCTGGTCATTAGTCAAGCATATTAACTGCTGCACTAGCCTAGCTCCCTTCAATGACCAGGGCAGTGGATTTCTCCCACACTTCATTTTATCACACAGAATCTCCGTTCCAAGTGTACTGGCTTTTCAAGCATGTTTTGCAGCATCGGCATACCCACTTACTGAATGTTTAAGTAGTAATATGATATTTTTATGTTGCTTAATTTTAAAAAATAACAATGACCCAAATTCCAAAGAGCCCAGTCTACTTGGAGAAGTTCTGGTGCAGCCAGCTAGCATATGCTTGAGGCAGTGCTGGGGCGGGAAGGTGGACCTTGCTGCTTTCAGCTCAAGTTTGCCACCCTGTGGCACTAGTGGGAACACAGCTCATAATTGGATTGACAAGCTAGCTATGAAATCAAGATACTCCAGATAGTTTTCATTGAAGGAGAAGCTTACATAATTTGAAAATTTGCCTATAAATTTGGGCTTGATTATTATATTTTCACTAACACTTTTCAGATTTCTCATAATTAAAAAGTATTTCCAAACTGCAATTCTGTGGCCTACCTACTCTGTTTTATTCAACCAACTAAACATACTGCTGTGGAATCAGAACCAACTCAAAGCTAACACACACCCCCACCCCCATCCCCACCCCCGTGGGTTTCCAGAGAGATTTGCGCAGGTGATGACCCATCTTTCTCTTGTGGAGCTGCTGGATTCCAAATACCTGCTTTTGAGTGGGCAGCACCACACCCCTACCCCCTAGACTACTAGAGTGCCCTTGTATTTTCTTAGTTGCCAAAAAGAGAACACTGAGTGGAGACTTGCATCCACTTTTTTACTCCTTATGTTGCAGTGCCAATTAACAGGTGCCCTGTGGGTTTGGCAGCAGGTGGCCACCTGGTTAGAGGTAAAGCTGTGTTGTGGTTGACCAGGTACCTTGACACATAGGGAATGCTTTGTATGCCTAGAACTCGAGAATTCATGTTCTCTCCTCTCTCTCCTAGGCTCGCCTGTATAGCCTGCAGTCAGACCCAGCAACCTATTGCAATGAACCAGATGGTGAGGAGGCAGCAATGGGAGGTGGATCTGTACAGTAGGGATACCAGAGGGGTCTGGTGTGGGGGCCCTGTTTGCCTTAGGAAGCACCTACATAGAGGGTCCACAGTGGGGCTGGTGTGCACCATATGCCCAGTAGGGTGGGCAAATGGTTCTTCTCCTTGGATCCTGGTGTCTTTATCCTTGTCTACAGATGCTTTACCAGTCTTTTTCCTCAACCCATCAATTCAGTTGCCCTCTCAGCCTTTCTGCCTGCCTACCTTCTCTTCAGCACCTGTTTACTAAAAACCATGATAGGAGCTAGAGATGAGACAAGTGTCAAATCCTTAACGCTGCCCAGCCTTTAAGGAACTTGTTGAGAGAAGAAAACAGGGAATAAAACAGTAGAGTAAGCACCTAACAGAAGGATATGACCCTGAAAGCCTAGAAATGCAGGAGGTGATGCTTGACTTGGGATTTTAACACCGAATTAGATATTAAGTAGTGGGGAGTGGTGTAGTTCAAACAAAGGGACCCTATGTGTGAAGGCCTGGCAAGAACAGGAAGCACTGACTGATTGGTAACAATGGACTGAAGGAAGCCTGATCGTGTTCAGAGCGTACGAAGGGCCTGAGCAACAGACTGTAAAGGACTTTGTATACTGGATTAAGCAGTCTGAATTTTGTCCTAATAGTGGTATTTCTTAACCTTTTTTTAGTTTAAAACTTTTTAAAAGCTGCTGAAAATAACAGAACTTCCTATGGACTAAAGCTTACCAAATTCTGTATGCAGAATAGAAGTTCTTTGACCCTTGAAACCTGTCTGTAGAATCTAGGTTTTTAAAAACCCTCACACAACCTGTTGAAGGGCCTTGAGCCCTGAAGCGATCAGATTTGCACTTTATGAACAGCCCTTGGGCAGTGTTTGTTTAGTAAAAATAGAGAAGGAAGAGACAAAAGCCCAGTGAGGAGGCTGTGGCAGGAATCTCCAGTCAAAACCTAGAAAGGCAGATGGAATGCAGAGGTAGAATCAACAGTGAGTGGATAAGAGAAGGCTAGGATGGCCCTCAGGTTTTCCAAATGTATAATCTGGAATGGAGAGAAGGGAAAGGGCTCGTTTTGGGTTTGCAACATTTGTGCAAAAGAGGGGTCCAAGGGAACACCTGGGCTGGTGGATCTGGAGTCTAGAAGAGTAGTCTGGACTGCAAAGAGACTGAGGAATTTGTCAGTGGTAAGAGAAGTTAAAAAAAAAAAAGAAGTTAAAACTCAGAGCTTAGTGGAGATTATCCTGGGAAGAATATAGATAAGGACCAAAAAGAAAATGAAAAGTCCATGAAGACTTAGAAGGAATCACCAGAGGAGTGAGAGAGAGGTCACATGAGAGGCCACAGAAGGAGTGGGGTGGCATGAGGAAGGCAGGGCTGTACATACAGGGTCAGAACTGCAGAACAGACACGGGAATGGGAGAATGCACAGTGGGGTCACTGGGGACTGAGGGGGAATTCAGTAACCTTGTGCAGGGGGCTGAAAATGAGCTGGGATATGATGGAGTTCAGGCTGCAGCCCCTGCTGGACTTTGCTCATGTGGCCCACCCCACTCTCAGGCCCACCTACTCCTTTACCCCTTCTGACCCCCTACCCTGAGATAAACAGCTTTGATAAAAACCTTAAGCTTCCTCATTGTTCAGGTCCAGCTTTAGGTTTGTTCTATAGGCCTAGTGTTTCTTTTCCATGCTTGGCACTGACTATGAGTGTCTGTCTCTGCAGGGCCCCCAGAATTGTTTGACGCTTGGCTTTCCCAGTTCTGCTTAGAAGAGAAGAAGGGGCAGATCTCAGAGCTCATTGCAGGCAGCCCCTCCATCCGGGCCCTTTACACCAAGATGGTGAGTTTTCACCCAGCAGAACCTTGGCAAGTCCCAGGCTTGCGGTGTTAGGACATTGTGGGGTACATGTCCATCATTATTGTGGGGTTGTCTGCACCAGAGGAGTAGAATCCATATGGGAGAAGCTAACTTTTCAGGCTTCTGGCAGTCAGAGGATAGAAGATGGAAGGGTCATCAAGCCTGGTGGCAGTTCTTTCTCCCTCCTTAGCAAGGTGGGCCAGGAAGGTGGGGATGGAAGCACTCTGAATCACTGCTAAGCCACATGCTGTTTCTGACACCCAGAGCAGTGGGGAACAAACCCCACATGACCACTCCCAGCTTTTCATTCCCTCTCTCACCTCCCTCCAGGTCCCAGCAGCTGTTTCCCATTCAGAATTCTGGCATCGTTATTTCTATAAAGTCCATCAACTAGAGCAGGTATGCTGGCCTAGGCTGGGGAGTGCGTCACTCAGCTCGGGAGGAAGCGGGCTAAATTTTGGTGAGGGGGAAAAAGGGACCACAGGGTGCCAGATTCTGGTAAGATCTGGGAAGAGGGTGCCTTGACTGTCCTGGTCCTCTGCTCCCCCACACTCAGGAACAGGCCCGGAGAGATGCCCTGAAGCAGCGGGCAGAACAGACCATCTCAGAAGAGGCTGGCTGGGAGGAGGACGAAGGTAAGTAATCAGAGGGGGTGGGTAAATGACTGGGCCCACCTTGGGAGACTAGCTGGACCTTGCTTTCTGAAACCTAGAAGGACTTGATGGCCCAGGGAATAATAAGAAAGGAGTATAGTTTTTATTTAAGGATTGATTGAACTAACAAGGGTGATGTTTTATAGGACTGGGCCTAAGTGTAGAAATTACTTGTCACTGGACAAAGTCCCCTGCCAGCCTACGGACTAGCTACCATATAGTAATTTAGGAAGCTTTTTGAAAATTCAGGCTCCCTTCCTCATCTTCTAAATTATACTCCTTAGGGAATGAGGCCAAAGTTGTGTTTTGTCTTTTTATGCTACAATTATATATACCATTTCAACATTTTTGACACATGCAATTCGGCGGTATTAATTATGCAGCCATGACCACTATTCTCTTACATATTTTTCCATCATCCAGAACAGAAAACAACACCTCCTTCCCCCTTTCTGCCCTTGGTATAACCACTAATAAACTTTGGTCTCTATACATTTGCCAATTCTAGATAATTTATATAAGCAGGATTTTAACAGTATGTGTGGGGTTTTTTTATTTTGTTTTTTTTTTAATATATGTCCTTTTGTGTCTGACTGATTTCACTTCGGCGTCACCTTTGTGGTACCATGTAGCAAAACTTCATTTCTCTATAGCTATGTAATACTCCATTATTTTTATGTATGAAAAGTGATGTTTGTGTATTATATATGCACACACACCCCTCCCTATGTTTTATTTATTCAATCATCTGTTGCTGGACAGATGGGTTGTTTGCAGCTTTTCGCTGTTATGATCAGCTCTGTAATGAACATTGGTATGTGAGAACCCAGGTTGCTGCTTTAAGATTTTTTTAGAATATACATAGAAATAAACTCGCTGAGTCCTATAGCAGTTTATGTTTAACTGTTTGAAGAGCCACCACACTCTTTGCCATTTTTACAATTCCATGAGCAGTTGGGTGAAGGTGAAGTTTTCTGTCCTCTTTTCTAACACTTGTTTTCCATTTTCCAGTCATAACCATCTTGTGAAATAGATGGAGTGAAATGGTAAATCATTATGGTTTTGATTTGCATTTCGCTGATGACTAATGACTTTCCAAGCATCATCTTATTCATCTTATGAGCATGGTAGCCATTCTGTCTTCTTTGATGAAATGCCTATTCTAGTCCTTTATCCATATTTTTACTGTCTTGTTGCTAAGTTGTAGGAGTCAAACTGGGGTTTTTTGTTTTTTGGTTTTTTTTATTTTCTTTTAATAATTTTAATGAACATTTACAGAGATTTTGGATTTCCATTCATTCATTGTTGCACTTTTCTCCCTGCCCAGCGCTGCCCCCACCCCCCAGGAGTCAAACTGTTTTTAACGAGCTGCCCTGTAATCATAATGCCTCACCAGGTTTGCTGCCACTGGCTTATGGTGATTTCTTAAACACTCTCTACCTGGTAGCTCAGCTTAGAACAATGTGTGGAGCCACCTGCGTAACAAACAATGAACACATTAAGTGTTTATATTACTTACCCAGCTTGTACCTAGAGCTTTCCACTCCTAGTTCTTACAACTCCATTATCTCTCTTTCAAGAATGAGGCAGGTAATTTTTTAAAAAGTGAAATGACTTGCTCAAGATCATCCATCTAGAATAGAGCAAGAACACAAACTGACCCCCAAAACAAACTCACCTTTGAGTCCCAACTTTCTAATCTGAAATACCATCTTAGGTTACACTAATGGAAACCACCAGGCATATGCAAAGTCCACAGGTAGGAGAGACTATGATAATCAGAGTATCTACAGAAGAGCTAAGACAGGAAAGGAGGGAGGGTGAGAAAACATGATTTTTAGTCTTAGGCAGAGTAAACTTTGGCAGGAATCTGAGGTCTGTCTTCAGAGAGCTCCAAGGATGTCTCAAGGCCCTTTAGGGTACAGTGCCCTCTTTCCCCTACCTATCTCTCCACAGAGGAGCTTGTGGGCATTTCACCCACATCTCCAAAAGAGGCAAAGGTCCCCGTGACCAGCACTTCCACATCTCCTGAAGGAAGAACTGGACCCCAGAGCCCTTCTGAAGAGAATCTAGTGACCCCTGTTGAGACTCCAGCAGAGGTGACTCCATCAGAGAGCAGTGAAAGCATCTCCCTCGTGACACAGATAGCCAAGCCTGCCACCTCACCTGAGGCACCCATGCTGCCCAGGGACCTCTCCCAGAAGCTGCAGGAGGCATCTTTGGAGGAACAAGACCTGGCTGTGGATGTGGGCGAGACGGGACCTCCTCCTCCAGCTCATACCAAACCCCTGACCCCTGCTGGCCGCCCCAGTGGCTCAGAACCCAGGCCTCCAGCCAGAGTAGAGACTCTGAGGGAGGAGGTGCCTACAGACTTACGGGTGTTTGAGCTGAACTCTGACAGTGGGAAGTCCACACCCTCCAACAACGGAAAGAAAGGTATGCCTGCAGCCCTGAGGCGGGATTGTACGGGAGCAGGACAAGGGAGAGTCACCACCTCACAAGGCAGGTCTCCTTGTTTCTTGTTAGGGCTTTAGAACAGATTTGCTCCATATTTTTATAATGATGAACAGCTACATCAACCGTTAAAAGATTGTCTTGTTTGAAATCGGGACACATCTTAAAATTGATTGGGTCTTAGACTCTGAAAATTTTTTTTATGTCAAGTCCTATGCAAAGTGTGTTATAGTGCATTTATTTCTCACATTTCACAACCAGTGAGATATTACCCTTATAAGTGAAGAAAATGGGGCTCAGAACTGTTAAGTAACTTAATCAAATTTATATGGCCTGGAAGTGGCAAGCCCAGATTCAGTCCTTGCTCTAATTTCAAGCCTGTACCACTCTAACACCCAGGAACTTGCTGTGACTCAACTTAGGTAACAGAGCTGTAATTTCTCATCTTGTGTTAACAGTTTTAGACTGGAGATCCTGACTTTATGTCAAAAGAAAAGCTCTTTAGCTCCTGAAATTAAAAGACGATCCTTTAATAGCACTGTTGTTGTTATTATTGTTGTTGTGTACTGTCAAGTTTGAACCAACCCGTAGTTGATCCCCTGCCGGGTTTTCAGAGGCAGTTAATCACATGGGAGGAAATTGCCCATCCTTCTCCCATTAATAGCACTAGTGTTGGATTTTTGCCATATCCAGAATTACTCACCAGGAGCAGGATTGGAAGGCCTCCTCCCGCCCCTCACGCTCATCCTCTTTGCTAACGTTCAGTGACACTCACAGCCCCAGAGCTTGTCTGGCAGGTAAGCTCTGGCGTGCCAGCTCCCAGAAGGACTGGTTTGCTTCAGTGTATGGGAAACGGGCTCGTCCTCACACTGCCTGCTCCCAGTAAAAAATGACAGGGTTTCCAGTTTCCAAAACAGTGCTTTCTTCTGACTCTGACTCAGTGAGGTCATCTGTTGGGACTCCTGTTTTCTCTTTGTGAGACACTGAGTGGGGAGGGGCAAAGGCTTCAGTCTTTATGATGAAGCATGACGCATGGGGCAGACCTGGCCCTGGAGGAGGTCAGAGAAAGAAGGAATCTCGGCACCAGACGTGTTTCACTGAAGAGACAGATACTGAGTTGGAAAGTTTGGACAGGTGCGAGGAATGATAGTGCAGGCTGAGGGGGGCTCCAGACTCCAGAATAGAAGAAGTTATAGGACAACATTTAAGGCATGGTGTCCAAATTCCATTTCTCAGTATCAGGAAGGATAAGTGGTTTGGCTCATTAATTGAACTTAAGAATTTAAAATCTTTTTTTTTTTTTTATTATTTTTGTGTGAGTGTACCGTCAAATCAGATCTGACTGGTACAGGAGGAGATTGTCCCTCCTTTTCCCGGCAGAGCATCTGGTGGATTCGAACCGTGAGCCACTGGGATTGTAGTTGCAGCTCCTTGCCACTAGGCCACCAGAGCTCCCCTAAGAATTTAAAATCTTAAGCTAGATTCAGGAGTTTGGACTTGGTACCAAAAAGCATTGAGGATGAAGACTAAGGGCTCAGGCTCCAGAGACAGGCTTCAGTTCAAATCCCATGTTGTTCACAAGCCATGTGACTAAGATCTGTCTGTCTCTATCTGCACATCTGAAAAATGGAGCTAATGATTTCACAGTAGTTTCTCAAGCCAGGGAAAATTTGGTTAGAGCATTCATTGCCTTGAGAAAGTGACATAACATTATCTAAGTCAGTTTCCTCTTCGCTGGTAGGAAATTGAGATTGATCACCCACTCAGTAATTTTTGAGACAAGAGAGAATGGGGGAGTAGGTGGACCCCACAAGGATAGTAAGATTGCAGGTGGTTGGCCCTAAAGGCTCACTGAGATAGCTGTCTACGTTTTAGTGATAAAGTTAACAGTGTATCCTTGTCCAGACACAGTCAGTTGCTCAGATGTAGGCCCAGAGCAGGTGAGTTGTTTTTAACCAAGGTTCAAGTTTAGCCAGGTGAAATCCATAGAGAAAGAGGCAAGCAAGAGCTCAAGTGTGAACAGGAAGCATGAATGATGGCTTTTGGGCTCCAAGCCGAGGAAGGAAAGGGATGAGGGGGGAGTGAAATGGACCAGTGAAGAGTTAGGCTCCATTTGGAACTGAGCTAATAAAGAGGGTGATCAAAATAGCAGGGATTGAAGGCTGGGTGCTTCAAAGGGAGACCGTGGAGGAGTGGCAGGTAGGCTCCTCATCTGCTCTTCTGCTCTTCTTATATTCAAGAAATATAAAAGGAGGAGCTGGAGATTTGATGCAGAAGAGCTACCCTGAGGGTTCCTAGCCAGGATCTTGGCTAAAACAAGGGTGAGGCCTGTGGGAACAAAGTTAATGGGATAAATCTTAAAAGGAAGGATGGAGGTTGGAGACAGATTGATTCCTTTTCCCTTTCATAGTCACATCGAGGAGCATGGAGAGCTTGCTTTCCAGGTCCGTCACAGTCTCTTGGCAGTGGCCACGCCATGTCCCATGGTCCCAGGGTAGTCACTATCTTTACAGACCATCTTCCCGCCTGCACTTTGCCCCAAGATCTAGGAGATACCCTGCTCACTTTCTGTCAGGGGGGACAGGGCCCTGGTGAGGGTGTGGATGCGGGGCAGGCCTCAGTTTGAGCCCTCACTTCACCACCATGATGACAATTTGTTTGGTTCTGGTTTGATGTGTATGTGTATATATATATATATAATAGAGTCCTTAGGTGGTACCAGCAGTTAATAGCCTTGTTTTTAACCAAAAGGTTGAAGGTTTGAATTTACCTAGAGGTGCGTCTGAAAAAATTCTGGTAATTCACTTCTGAAAAAAAAAAATCAATCCTTGAAAACTCTGTGGAGGAAAGTTCTAACTCTAATACACAGGGTTTCTATGAGACAAAAACTATTCAGTGGTAACTGGCTGGGTATATATGCTTTATCTCCTCTCTGTAATCCTAATAGTGCCTTTTTTCACACTGGGCCACGGTCTACCTAGACTCATCCAGGTACTTATTTCTAATGCGTACTCCTTGGCTGCCATTAGACCTGCTCAATCTGAATGATTGGAGTGGGGAAGAACTCAGCATTCTAATAAGCTTCTTTGGTGATTCTTTGCAAACAGAGTGGTTTTATTCTTATTTGACAAATAGACTGAAGCCCAGGATATTTGTCCAAGACTGCACAATAGATAAATGAATAGGAATTCAACCCAGATCAGCTGGCTTCTAGGACCACACATGCTCTCACACATTGGCAGCTAGGCTGAGGCGAGATAGTGTGAGACACTATATAAGGAACAAAGGGGCTGCGGGGGGCAGGGGTTTGGGGGAAGGTCTCTGAAATTGGGTGAATGTGAAGAGCAAGTGGAAGAGGAAGTTTAAACCATCTCATGGGCGGAAACGAGGTCACTTTATTTTTTATATTATTTTGTTTTTAATTTTCCCTCAGTCAGCAGGCACCTCCAACTTATGGCAGCTCCCCATACAGCAGAAGGAAGCACTGCCCAACCACACACCACCCCCACAATCGCTGGCATGCTCAAGCCCATTGTTGAGGCTACTGTGTACTTTGAGGAGCCTCCAACCTGTTGTTGTTGTTGCTGTAATGGTCTGTCAAGTCAGAACCAACTCATAGCTAAGCCTCCAGTGGACTTTCAGAGGCTACAAATTACATGGGAGGAAATCGTCCTGAATTTCTTTCTCAGAGCAGCTGGTGGGATCTGAACAGTGTGCCTTTGTGTTGGCAGCACAACTCCTTTCCACTAAGCCACCAGAGCTCCCTTTTCTAGAATTGAATCAGACTGTATTCTGTGTTGTCAACCATATGAATATCTGAGGAAGATAGTTCCAGGTGCTGGAAACAACCCACATAAGTGCTCCAAGGTGGGGAATGTGCCACCTAATGTTGAAGGAATAGCAAGATCAGCATAGGTAGAATGTTCTGAGTGGAGGGAAGGAAGTTGGTATTTTTTCCGGGAGATTTCTGTGACTCCTGCAAAGTCTTTGGACAAGGAGCTTCTCTCCTGTTCAGTTACTTGCTTGTTCTTACTGAGTAGTTTAAAACCATTTACCATGTATATTGATGTTCTACAACCTAACTTTTAAAAGTTACTTAAATGTTCCATCATGTGACTACCCATTTATTTTAGTAATTCCCTGCTGATTGAGTTGGTTTTGAGTTTCCATCACTGTTACAGCACCACAGTGGATCTCCTTCTGGCCAAATCTTTGACTAAGTCTAACATTTTGCCTCAGATTTCTAAAAATGGGATCACTGAGCTGCTTGCCTGAAAACAGAATATAAAGATTTGCCCTTTATCTCTCAGGCTCTCCTTAAAGAGTGCCATTATCCCTAACCCACCCTCTTCAGATACCTCTCCCTGCACCTCCCTCCCTTTAATACTATGAACTGTGGTTCCAGGCTCAAGCACAGACATCAGTGAGGACTGGGAGAAGGATTTTGACTTGGACATGACCGAAGAAGAGGTGCAGATGGCTCTTTCCAAAGTGGATGCCTCTGGTGAGGTGAGTGGGCCTGGTCAGCTATAGTGAAGCAAGCTCAGCGGTCCCAGGATCTGAGACCTCTTTCCCCCACTCCCGCAAACCTAAGCATCCCCTCAGGGTGGAGCCCTTCAGTCTGAGGTCCCAAGCCAAGGACTCTCACTCAAGCTTAAAACAGTTGTTAGCAGATCTTAGTTCTCCTCAGCTCGAGAGTCAATAAATGGGAAACTTCTGTATTAAAATCACCTAAAGAACTACTTAAAAACAGAGATGCCAGAACTGTACCCCAGTCTTCTGACTCATGGTCCCCAGGTGTGGTGTCTAAGGTGATTCCTGACCATAGAGACAAAAAACCTGTATGATCTAGGACAAGTCACTTTACCTGAGCCTCTCTTCCCTCATTTAAAATACGGGCTTGATCATTGTAAGACTTTATAAACTGCAGTGAGCATATAGACATGCCAGGCCTGGTACTTGGACCTGGTGAGCATCAGTGAATACCAACAGGAAATACCACAAAACCCATTCCACTTAGTAAAGTCAAAGGCTCTTTATTATCCTTGTTCTTCATTATATTCCAGAACCAAGACTTGGTTGTTCTGAATGAGAAGTACTGGAGCAGTCTAAAGCTCACAGCTAATATGTGATACGCACAGTTTTCCCATATAGCCTCTGAACACCCACTGCAGGATCAGCTATGAGTTAGTTCTAACTTGACTAGATGTAATGACAATGATAAGGGCCAGGCCACTTAGCAGCCCAGATGCTGATTCACATTAGTGTTACTTTTGCTATCACACAATAATTACGTGTTTCCTACCATCACATAATTCAGTGGCACCCTATCATCTTACGGGGTCTTGCCCATCATATTCAGGATAATCTAACAGCAGGACACAAGTAAAAAGTGAGGCAAGAGAAAGTTCCCCGAGGAAACTCAGAGAATAAGGTTGGTGGGCCAGAGGATTAAAGACCCTGCATACCCGGTACCCCTCTTGGTTCTGATCATAGTGTCTCAGAGTCGTGGCCTCAACCACCTAGCAAGAAGCATGTTCTCCTTAAGATGTGGACTAGCTTGCCTCCTCCTGGCAGAGCGTTCTTTTGAATTGTCCAGTGCTGGTGGAAGAAGTCCCTCTGGGTCTGAAACAATCAGAACAACGGGCCCACTCCTCAGGCAGAGGGCAGGGCTGTGGAAAATGGAGGTAGCCCTACTCAGCAGTGGGATTGTATGAGTTTGGATTAATTAAAGAAATTAAATATGTGTTTGTGCTCCCCATTATCCCCTCCCATTTGCAGCTGGAAGATGCAGAATGGGAAGACTGGGAATGAGGAGCCTGAGCGAGCAGCACACTCACCCACAGCGCCTCTCACCTCCCTGGCTCACCTCAGCCTGGCCTGGAAGACACTGACTGAGAATGTTCCCCCAAATCGCCTCTATCCACCAGAGTGTGAGGCACAGATGCGCCTTGCTGGCTCTTTGGTACCTAGAGGGGACCTCTGCCCACACCTGGGAAGGGGCACTCTGCATCCAACCAGGAACTTTGACTTGTGCCAATCATAGGATGACCTAAAGGGGAGGAGACCTTACCCCTCTCACCAGAAGAGCCTGCATTTTTCTGCTGAACACCCTGTGTACCTGGAAACTCCTGCTGGGCAGTCCCAAAGGATAGCTCTAGCCTTCTGCCTCACCCATCAGTCTCTTGGATTAAGCTAAGACAGCGCTGCCTGTCCATGAGCAAGTGAGGAAGGCTGTGCCACCTGCCCTGGCTAGAAGGGGACGGAGAGCATGTTTTGGCTCCCATCTCAGTGAGTAAGAGGCCTCCAGCTCTGGGAAATTTTCCTCTTGGGACTCTTCTCCATCCCAAGCCTTTTCCATTCCTAGAGAGGTTCCTTGTGGTTCAGAATCTAAAGACCAAACCCTAAGTTCCTATATTCCTTTCATCCAGCCCAACCTTGGTTATGTCCTCAGGCCTTTCCCAGGGCTTCATGTCCACTGCACCCAAGTCCTTAGCCCAGCTGTGCCACCTGCAAGAGTTTGTTCTTGCATTTCTTCCCCTCCCCAAGGAGGGGGCGGCCACTTCAGGCCCTTCTGTGCATTGCCTGGTGGGATTACCTTGTCCAACCAGCTACCCACATCGACTTCCCTGTAGCTTAGGACATAAGCCAGCTACCGGCGGTACAAAGCAGTGATCAAAACCGAGTACTTACAGATCTCATAAAGCCCGACTTCCACCTCAGCCCTTCTGCTCCTCGAAGGAATGTGCTAACGGTGAACTTCTGCCTCACGTCAGGCTTCTGCAAAAGCTCTTCTTCCTGAAGTCAGCCCCAGCCTCAGGCTCTCCCCCTCCACTCTGGTAAAGCTGGTAAAGCTGCCCCTCTTCAGCGGAGGAGGGAGGGGCCACAGGAATCCCTGGAGCCCCTGGTGCTTTATGTTGCTCTGGTGATTCTTGTACATAACCTGGTGTGTTCACCATTGATTTAAAGGGATCCTGGTCAGGGATACCAAGGAGTGGTCACTTCACTTCTGACCTTCAGTGAGGGGTGGGAAGGAGAGAATGCTGTATCATTTTGATGGGATGGGGTTTCTCTCTTTGTAATTGTCTCTTTAGTTTAATTAACCTTTTGGTTGGTTGTGCAATATTATATATTTTAAATTATAATGCATCTCCCCAGAGTATTTTGTAGCAAGGAAAACAAAAAAGGGGGGAGGGGGGAAGATTCTAACAGCTGTTAGTTTTATAATTAAAAAAGAAAAAAAACTTTATCCTGAATCTTTTACAGACTTGCCATTAACAGCATTAAAGAGATCAAACAGAAGCTAGAAGGTGTCTGGGGACCTGTTCTTACTCCCAGGATAACTGCGCTAGAGCCAGGGCAGGACATACCCCCTGTGCACAGGAAGGCCTCCATCCCAGAGCGGGGAGGGAGTGACAGGCAGCCTGGGTCCTGAGGAAGTCCCGTGTCCTCATTCCAGAATGTGGGCTTTGGGATGAGGAAGGGACCTGGCCCCACAGGCCTCTTACCAAGAGAAGGAGTCAAAGGCCATTTCTGCATTCCCAACGCTTCTGCTTTTATTTGGAAAGGAAGTTGCACTGGTTCCAGTTAGTTGCTCTTGGTCATCTTTATGCTCCCTTCCCACTGTGTGCATTGTTTGTTTGTTCATGATTCTGGGGTCTGTTTTTAATTAACTTTGTAAAGACCTGTGTGAAAATCACTTGTCAGCCTTGATTGATAAAAGGTCTGAATGAAGCCCTTGGGTTCCATGAAGATCTTTAAAGAAAGAGAAATAAGGCTAGGGAGGGTGTAGGTAGATTTTAGAATAGGTAAACTTAGAGTGTAAAATATATATCACCATCTTAGAAGCGGGTTTTTGAGTTTGCTTTCTCCCCCTGCTTTATTGGGGAGGACTTGCTTTTATCAGTTGCTTGTTAGCCATGGATGCCAACTAATTTCTTCAATGGAAGGCCGGAGAATCATGTCTGGTTCCAGGAGCCGCTTGAGCAAGTCCTGGCATTCGGCTGAGATGCCCAGATGAGTAGGGAAAGACACCCCCTTCTGCTGCTGCCACAGCATTTTGGGGATATCTGTGTCATCAAAAGGTAGACTGGCACAGAGCATGACGTACAGGACCACGCCCATGCTCCAGACGTCACCCTTCTTGCTGTCATGAGGAATGCCCTGCAGCACCTCTGGGGCAGCATAGGCTGTGCTGCCGCAAAAGGTCTGGCTCAGCTCCCGTCGTGACTTGGGAAGCACCTTGGCAAAGCCAAAGTCTGTCAGCTTTAGGTTGAAGCCCTGCAGTAAGGCGTTCTCACACTTGAGGTCTCGGTGGGCCACACCACAGCCATGGCAGTAGCGAATGGCCTCAACCATCTGACGGAAGAGGGCTTTGGCCCGGCTCTCGGGCAGTGGCCCCCCATTCAGCACACAGTCAAAGACATCCCCTCCCTCTGCCAGCTCCATCACAAGGTAGATTTTCCCATCAGCAGACTCCAGCATCTCATAAACCTGGATGATGTTTTTGTGGTCCAGGGTACGGACGATTTGGAGCTCCCGAGGCAGAAATCTCTGGATAAATTCTGAGGAAACAAGGGTAGAGATAGGCTATCAAATCTTGAAGGCTCTAACTCCTCACTCCTGTCTCATTTTCCAACTTCTGTCTGCCTCCCCACCCTGTCTGTGTCTTGTTCTTGACTTGCTGCCTTTAATGGTCTTAAATGTGTCTAGCCACTTGAACTTTGTAAAGAATGTTCAGTGGATCTACTCTCTGCCCACCTCGGGCTGTTCTGAGCAGCCTGTGGCATCACTGATGTCAAAGTGCTTTGGAGACTTAGTGACACTGAACTTCAGTTATGACCTGACTTACCCATTGGGTAGTGATTGGGTAGTGAGCCAGCTCCTCCCAGGCTACCTCCAGACCCACAGTTCATCCCACAAGTCCTGTCTTCCCCTGCTCATCCCCTTCTGGAATAGGAGAGGTGTGGTCTCGGCTTCTGTCTCTGAAGGTCCTTCATGTCCTGCCACTTTAATCTTGGATTTTGTAGGGCATGATGCCCTTAGTCTCACTTCCCTACTCTATTACCCAAGACTGCTATCTGGCCAGCTTGCTTTGTTCCAGACTAAAGGCCTGGAGGAGCTGTGGTGCTGCCACATAGTTAAGGCCACTAGTCAGAAAGATGTGGATTCAAATCTCCAGCCACCCCACAGAACAAAAATAGGCAATTTGCTTCTATGAAAAGATGGATCCTTGCAAACACTATGGCAATCTGCTCTGTCCTGAGGGCCACTGTGAATCTTAACTAACCAGATAGCAGTGGGTTTGGAATTGATTTCTTTTAAAGGCCAGGAGAGAACAATTCTGGCTGGAGAAAACATGCCCGCCCACCTTAGCCAGCCCTCCCTTCCAACAAAGGGGCCCCAGCTCACCTTCTGGCCCTCCCATCTTGTCTATAATTTTAATTGCCACTTTTCTTTGGTGTTTTTTGGAAAATGCTTCTTTGACTTTTGAGTAGGTCCCTTCCCCAATGGTCTTGCCCAGCTGGTACCCATTGGAGAGCAGAAAGTCCTCCATGCTGTCTAGTGCCTCCTTCCTATCACCCTCTCAGCTCATGCTGCCTCAGAGAGGCAGCTCTACTCCACCATCGCCCTTGGCCTGCTTCTTTTCCCCCCAAGGACTTCATCCGCAGCTGCCCCCAACGCTAGAACATTCTCCGACTGGACACAGCCCCGGGTGGTGGTGAGGGAGAGGGATGGACATTTTTAAGCAGCGGCCCAATTGTGATGTAAATGCTGTGTGACCCCTGGCCAAAATGAGCAGTACTCTTACCTGCTCTCATTACGGGCTTGGACACCAAGCCCATCACCAGCTAAGACATGAGCGCCCCGCTGCCAGGCAGTGAGTCGCGGCCCCGCCTGGGGGGGAGGGGGGGCGTACAGCTGGGAATACTGGGACCTTCTGCATGGACGCCACTCCGTGCAGGTTGCCCTGGCTGCTTGCCTTTCACATCTGGCCCGAGAGCTCCCCAGCCTGCCTCCGCGCCAACTGCGAGGCGACCCCAAGTAGGGGTTCCCCAGCGGAAAGAACGGGCTCTATGAGGTCAGCGCTCCGTGGCCAGGGTCACAATGCAGCCCTCCCCCTCGACGCCTGAGCCAGGACGCGCTGCAGACACCTGCCCAGCGCCGCCCAGACCAGAGAGTCCTCCCTTGGCCAGGGCTCCGGCAGCTGCTTCCAGTCCAGCACGGGCCTCGGCCTGGGCCTCCGGCAGGTGAGCAAAAACACCAGGGGCAGGCACTGGGAGGGGGCACCCGGCGGCCCTGGAGCCATCTGACCGCCACTACCCGCACAGAGCGCCGCGGGGCCTGGACATGAGCGCCCAGGAGCCCCCTCAAGGTCGGAGATTCCCCATTGAGGCTGGAGACTCCCCTGGCCTTACCGCCGCTGCCGCCTCTGCCCCCGAGTCCCAGGACAGCCCAGAGCCGGTAGCAACGGAGCATAACCCGGTCAGGTGAGCCCGGCACCCACCCACCCCGCGGGTGCAGACCACCAGCGCTCAGTAGGGGGCTCCGCAGCCCCCATCCTAGCGCTCCAAGCCCCGCCCCATCCTCCTCTCCATCCCGGCCACGCCCCCTACAGTTCCCCATCCTTTCCTGAGCCTCAGGAACCACAGGTGCCCTCACCGCCCTCAGTACCCGCTTTGCGACCCACCCACCCCCAGGCCGCTTCGACGCTGCCCGGGTTGCCACTGCCTGACACTGCTGCACGTACCCATCGACGTCTACCTGGCAATGGGCGGGAGCCCCCGGGCTCGCGCCACCTGAGTGCACTGAGCACAGCAGGGACGAGGCCCGCTGCGGGCCACCACGCTGAGGTCGCGCGCGCCGAGCACGAAGACAATGATGCACATTTTAAAATAAAAGAATGATGCACATTTTAATAAAGCACAGCATAAACTGTTCTTTCCACTTCGGGCTGGCCGTGTGTGTCTATCCATCGGATCGGCCCGCAGGATGCTCCTCGCCATGGCACTGCTTCCCGCTGCCACCTCGCCTGCACTCTGTCCAGGCAGCCGCTGCAGGGCCTGCTTCCTCTCGCCCAGGGCCCCGCCACGCCCTTTCCTGGCAGCTCTTCCTCCCCCTGCCCGCTTTCAAGCTCTCCAGACTATTAGATTTTTTCATGGAATCCACATTACTTAGCTAGTACTTGCAGTCCTGGTAGCACAGTGGTTAGGCACTGGTCGGCTAACTGAAAGATCGGAAGTTCCAACCCACCCAGGAATTTCCTATTTGTTCACCTCATCAAAGATTCTGCTACAAGATATCACATTTGCCTCTCCTCCAACCCCACAGCACCTTCCAACAGAATCAAAGTTTCTTTTCTGATGGAGTACCCAGTAAGCAAGGTAAATACAGGTTTACTAGGTAAATCTATCCCATCCCCAAACTACAATCAGACTCCGCCGCCTGAGATTTGTGCACCCAGGCACCTCTGGCTTAATCTACCCTCATTTAATTTATCTTGAGCCTTGGTTGCTCCCAGGATAATGGAACCCCACAAAAAAGATGAGAAACATCTTTGAAAAATTAATTTCCTTATCAAGTCAACCTAAATTGCCACAGGAAATACCTGTGGAAGCAGCTTTGCTTACTGTACAGAAAGAACAGGAACCATCCGGAAGCTGGATCTGCCCTAAAGCTTCCTGAACTAAAAGAGCAAAAAATAATTTCAAATGAATAAAACTTGGGAGAATCTGGGATCAAAAATAAGTTGAAATTTTCACATATAGTTCCTAAAGATTAATTAACCAAGCACTTCATTCATAAATACAGCAATAAACAAATCAGGTGTCCTTAAGATGGGACAAGAAAGGAAAATGAGGCCACATCCAAATAAAAATGAGCAAACAAAGACCAAAACACTTAAGGAAAATTCATTTCCTAACTTTCTATTTGACAGGTGAGGGAATTGGGCCTTAAGAGATTTGTCAAAAAAAAAAAAAAAAAAGATTTGTCCAGGGTCCCACAGATGATAAATTTCTCACTCTTCTCAGATAGGTAATCTCTAAAAGCTCTAATCTATTATTTTAAAAAACAAAACATTCTGACAGCAACATAAAGGACAAATGGCTGTCCCGTGGGATTGGAGGCTGTAAATCCTTTTGTGTCGTCTCCTGAAGTTCTAAATTACAACCATTTTGTTAACAACCTGGAAACGTAACCACAGCACCAACAGGATTTCTTTTAGAAGAGTCCAACACACAGCTGCATTTCCACTCATTTATTTTATGGATGAAGGATTGGCAGCATATCCTTCTGTTGTACATAAGGTTGCTATGAGTCAGCGCCTACTCCACCACAGCAACTAACAATTATTTCTATGTTACAAACATACACACATGTCCTGTGAGATCCAAGTACAACTCATTCAACTCTGCTCCCCTAACCAAGTGAGATACAAATCCAAGTCCTCTTTAGTACTTCAGAATCCTATTGTCACCCAAAAGTGATACCCTCGTTAACTTCCACACAAAATGCTCTCCAGTCAGGCCCTAGTGTTAGAAGCTTATTGCAAAGCCGATGGATGTAGTTTTTCTTATGTAACTTCGAATCAGAATCAACTCATAGCTGACCCTCCAGCAGCATTTCACAGTAAATTGCACAAAAGGAGATTGCCCGTCTTTCTTCTGTGGAACAGCTGGTTAATTTGATCTGTATACCTTTGGGTTGGCAGCATAACTCCTTCCCAAGCCACTAGAACTCCCTGAAAAGGAGTAGTTTTAAAAAGTAATTTCAGAGTAAAGACTTTAGACCCGACTTCTTATACTTCCTGGCTCTTGGAAGTCCTTGGACATTCACTATTCCCTTCCCAGAGTCTTGGCTTCAGGCCACAATGCTCGCTCCTATCTCCTCTGTCCCTTCTGAAAGGGCCAGTTATCAGAAACTCAGTTTCTGGTAAAGTACTGTTAACCCCACCCCACCTGCTTGAGTGGTTTTGTTTTTTTTTTAGACTGTAGAAATCCTTTATTAGCATTTAAATGGCAGAAGCTGTGGAATCGAAAAGCATAGTTGAATGAGCCCTCTCTACATTTTGAACTTAAAAGATTTTACACATAAGATTATTTGCCAGTGTGTAAAATTTCAACAGCCTGGGCTGCCCTCTCTTCCCACAACCCTTTCCCCTCTCCACACTTTTTTTTTCTTCTTCTTCTTCTTCCAGAGTGATTAATTCTGTAAAGGAGGCGGTCTCCATGCACTTAATAATACTAAGTGCAAAAATTGACCTGATCCATTTAACAATGCAAATATGATCTCCCCTCCAACTGCGCATGAAATATACCAGATAAATATTTCAGCATATAAATTTGAGGGACTTGAGTGGTTTTTTAACAAACAAAGAACCCCCACCTGTGGTAAATCCCACCCTGACTGATCAACTGCCATAAAGTGGAATTATTCTTCTTTTTAAGGGCACAGGGGATTTTCCTCATTCCTGTATCTGAAGTAACCTATAAGATTCAAATAGGTTTCCAAACTGTTACCCTGAGCTATGGCTAGCCAATTGAAGGTGGACAAATACCCAAACTACTGTGGATGGCCAATCATGACGTGTATAGTTGGGCAGGGGAGTAGCAGAGGTATAAAAGGAGGGGCAGACATCAATTCGGGGCTCTCGGCTGGATGCTGCTGTGTCAGCACGTGGGAGCCCAGGTTCGAACTCATAATAAACTTTGTTAATTCGGCTAATTGGCTCGGTGATCTTTTTGGGGACTCGCTCCATTACATTTGGAGGCCCCAGCAAGATCTCCCTAAATTCATCCAAACCCTGATTGCCAGCAAACGGAGTAACTGTGACGTCGCTGTAGGATTCTTCCTACCTGGTAAGTCAGGCCTGATAACTGGTTAATCTGTATTGTTTGGTGCACCCCGGTTTTTAAAATTGGACAGTTGGAAGGCAGGACGCTGTATAACTTCCAGTCCAAGACCGCGGCAGTGACGACTGCCAAGGTCCAGGTGTCTGAGGAAGTGGGGGGTCGCCTGGATTCAGCTTGTGTGGAAGTCTAGGTTCTCGGGTGGATGCCACTGGCACTTGAGAGCCCAGGTTCGACCCACAAGTCCTGAAATAGCTCGCATAGAAGTCTGGGTTCTTGGGTGGATGCCATTGGCACGCGAGAGCCCAGGGTTGTCCCGCAAGTTCTAAATCGGCTTGTTTGGAGGTCTGGGTTCTCGGGTAGATGCCACTGGCACACGAGAGCCTAGGTTTGTCCTGCAAGTTCGTAATTAGCTCGCGTCGGTCTGGTGACCCGCAAGTTCGGAATCTCAGGGGAGAGAGGCCCACGCCTCAGACGTTCGGCGGGTGGGAGGTGAAAGAAACCCACCCCTCGAACCAGGTCTGTCAGTCTGGACTCAAATTCTGCCATGGTTTTTGTCGACAACAGTGTTCGTTTGCTGAATGGGAGAGGCCATACTTCGGACTCAGGTTTTGTCATGGTCTTTGTAGTAAACAGTGTTCTTTTGTCGGCTGAATGGGAGAGGTCATACTTCGGACTCAGGTTTTGTCGTGGTGTTTGTTGTCAATAGTGTCTCTTGCTATTTTTGTGAATTTGTGTTTGTCAATGGTCTTTCTGTCGACAGTGTCTTTCTATTTCTGTGAATTTGTGTGGCTTTTTTCTTTCTCTACTCAGTTCTGGAACAAACAGCGCTAGCAAAACAGGCATAAGCGAAAAATGGGAGCGAGACAGTCAAGGGTGGAAAGACCGTCCCCTTTGGAGTGTTTGGTAACTAACTTTTCAGAATTCTCTTACAGGGCAGCCGGATACGGCATCCAAGTAGATGCTTTCACTCTAAGGAAGTTTTGTGAACTACAGTGACCCACTTTTAATGTCGAGTGGCCGGCTGAGAGGACCCTGGAAATGGGCCCCACAATTGGAGTCCAAGCCATAGCGTATGGCCTCCTGGGATACCCGGATCAAATTACTTACATAGATGTGTGGATCTCCTTGTAAATCAGTAAAAAAAAGTGAATTATATGCAATTTTTTAGCTTAAAAAAGGTCTGATAAAAGTATTAGTATTATTATTAGCATTAATATTATGCAGTATTTAAAAATTGCAGTTATTAAAATATGGTATTTTGGGTGGTATATAATTTTGAGGATGGAATTGAAAGTTGTTTTTTTAATTTATTTTTTCTTTTTTTGGAATTGAAAGGTTTTTTGTTTGTTTTTAAATTATTATTAAATTTTATTAGTTTTAATGAACATTTACAGAGATTTTGGGTTCTCATTCATTCATTGTTGCACTGT